TTCAGAGAACTCACGCGCCAGACGCAGACATCGGCAGTGCTTCAAGGTGATAAAATTTCAGCACGCGCCTATCTGCAACGAGCCTGCCGGCTCAAACTCGAGATGTTGAGCATTGGATCGTCTCTTGCAGGTTGATGCTTCCTTCGCACAGCTCTCTCCACAGGAGTCCCAGAGCAGATCGGTCCGAGATTCTCCGTGGTTCAGATCCTGTGTCCATGCGTCCAGGACCTGGCAGCTCTGCAGCTACGGTTGAGCCAGACCGAAGCTTCTTCAAGGAGCCCAGGAGGCGCAGAAAGATGACGGCCGCAGCGTTGTGGCGCGCAGGAAGCCCTTGGAGAGGCTGCTGGGGACCATCCAGAAATCGATGGAGTGAGCATCTCAGAGCTTTGGCAAGAATTCGCAAGCAAAGCCGGGCAAACGATGAAGTCAGCAGGGCACGAATGGAAACGGCCACCAAGGAGATTGAGGCCATTCTTAAAGTCATGACTGCGAGCGTACGGCGTACCGGGGGAGAGCGGGAAATGTCCGCTGCAGGCCCTGATGCAGAGCTCCGGAAACATCGACGACAACATCCGGGAGTGCTTGCAGCGACAGGCGGTGTGGTCATACGGCACACGGATTCGGGACGGCAAAAAACCAGCGCCTCGGAACGCCAGGACAGTGTCCTCCCGATTATGGCAGCTGCATCCTTGGACATTTCTATGCGATGTGACAAGTAGGGATGGGCAGGAGTCGGCGTGGTGGGGGCAGGGGGAGATAGAGAAGCTGCTGCTTCCTGATCCTTGAGGTCCTGCAGATGAACATAGGGCGCGCTCAAAAAGCCGGCAACCAGCAGCTGGACTGTCCTGTCCCCGTTTTTCCCGACTCTTTTGCCGACTCGAAGTGTCCGCCTGCGCAGGAGAAAGCTTTGACGTACCTGTACAATATCATGAACCAAGAAATCGAGTCGAAGGTACGCAGCGCATGCAAGAGAAAGAGAGAGAGAGAGAGAGAGAGAGAGAGAGAGAGCGCGACCCTTACGCCCTGCAGAAAGAAAGAAAGAAAGAGAGAGAGAGAGAGAGAGAGAGAGAGGGAGCTTGCGCCCTCCATTGAGCTACACGGGGTCGAGGCCCACTTAGCCGCTGCAGCCACGAGCCTCAGCCTTGCCTCGGACGGCAATATGGGAAGAAGGGGGAGAGACCCCCCCCCCATCTCCCAATGCTTTCCAGATAGCCGCGCTCATGGCGGGGATCCTGGACGAGAGGGCCAACAAAGGAGACCCACCGACGGAGGGGGAACTGGCGGAGGTCCTGGGGCTCACGCAAAGTGGGCAAGCGCTGCTGTGGGGGGGCCTGCGCTCCAGCAACTGGCAACGCACTCACGATGCCACAGATGCGGGGGAAGACGCCGAGACCCTCATCCAGACGATGGTCGCGACCTACCCAGTGGGCAACATGGACCTGGGACGGCTGCGGAACATGCTAGACGCAGCAGCGGATGGAGTGGAAGTCCTTGTGGGCAGCTACCCGCACAAGGGGGAGGCAGAACGAGTGCCAGCTCACCCAGCAGACGTCATCGCACTCCAGGGGGGAGCCGAGGAAGGGAGGACGACGCACACGGCGCCAGATGCGCTCAAAATCTTCAGAGCCCGGAAGAAGCTGCGAAACCTCGTGCCCTTCCTGACGGGGGAGCTGCTGAACCACCTCATGCAAGCCTTGCGTGAACTGGACACGTGGACTCAAGACTACTGGGGGACAGAAGAAACCCTCGAGCTAGTCAGCGACGACGACGGGAAGAACACGGCGGCCAGAGCCTCGACAATGCCTACCACCGCAGCGGGGCGCCCGGGGAGTGAGATCCACCTCTGAGCCGCGACGCCGCTTCACCAACCCCAACTAGACCATGATGATTAGGGCCTTGTTGTGGGGTGCGCGTGACGACTAGGTCTTTGTTTTTCTAGGGGGTGCCTTTCTTTCAGTGAGCAGGGGAACCTGAAGCAGAGCTCGTGCCAACAACGCGCAGCAAGCCTGGGGGTGAACTCTATCTAAGTGTGTGTCAAGCTCCGTTGTAACTTTAGCTAGCGTGTGTCAGGCTCTGCTCTGTTGCGCATGAGACTCGCTGAGTGGGCCCGGTAGCAGTAGTCTCAAGGCCCCAGTTTCCGGCGTGCAGCACGGCAGCGGGGGAGAATCCACTTAGTACTTTAGCTGTCTTTGCAAGCCCCACCGCGCCGTGCCACACTGGACGCCTCTCCGGAAGTGCCTTTGGACAAGCCTGCTTTGGCTTGGGGGAAAGCCTTGAGACCCCATTACTTTACCTAGCCTGTGGCAGGACCTGTTTTGTTGTGCATGAGACTCTCTGAATGGACCTCCAGTAGCAGTCGTAGATGTAGTTTCACGTACTCAGAGGGGAGGCTCGCGAGCACCCAAACCGTATGTACTTGGGCCCCCGATCGGTGCCAGAGCAGCCTCGCTAACCTTTCGAAACACAGTGTCCCTCCAACAAGAAGGGGAAGCAAGGTGGGGGACAATGTGGCTTTGCAGTTCAGTGGCGTATGCTAGGTAGCCTACTCTGGGGTAGTTGCAGTAACAGCCACACCTTGCCAGTCACTCAGCTGACGCCCTCACCGCGGAACCCGCCTAGGACTAAGGTAAGCTGGTTATGGTAGCCATAGGGGCCCGTCGATGAGGCCGGGATGCGCGGGGTTTAGAGTTCTAGGCGGGGGTATCTGCACGAGAGCGCGGAGCAAACTGTGTAGTTCCCTGCCGTAGTCAGGAAAGACCCCGTTGCCAGCCACTCCATAACACAGCGGGTGAGCTGGGCGGGCCTAAGGCCTGGGGGGCGCGCGCGACCCTTACGCCCTGCAGAAAGAAAGAGAGAGAGGGAGGGAGGGAGAGAGAGAGAGAGAGAGGGAGAGGGACAGAGAGAGTGAGAGAGAGTGAGAGAGAGTGAGAGAGAGAGAGACAGATAGAGAGAGAGAGAGGGAGAGAGAGAGACAGAGAGAGAGAGAGAGAAAGAGAAAGAGAAAGAGAAAGAGAAAGAGAAAGAGAGAGAAGAGAAAGAGAAAGAGAGAGAGAGAGAGAGAGAGAGAAGAGAGAGAGAGAAAGAGAAAGAGAAAGAGAAAGAGAAAGAGAAAGAGAAAGAGAAAGAGAAAGAGAAAGAGAAAGAGAAAGAGAAAGAGAAAGAGAAAGAGAAAGAGAAAGAGAAAGAGAGAGGGGAAGAAAGGAACGAAGGAAAAGAGAGAGGGGCCGAGTGCCTGCGGGTCGTGAGCGACCCCTATGCCCAGCAGAAAGGAAGAGAAAGAGAGGGAGGGAGGGAGAGAGAGGGACGGAGAGGGATGGAGAGGGAGAGGGAGAGCAAGGACGAGTGCCCCCATGCAGGGAATCGTCTCCTCAAGCCTGTTGGAAGAAAGAGAGATGGGGCCCGCAGGAGTGCAAGGAAGGTGACAGGTCGATGTGTGAGCGGAAAAGCAGCCTTGCCGCCATGTAGCGATAGCGTCGGGTTTTTACTTGTGCATGCCCCTGCTGCGCACATGGCTCCCAACGAGCCAAATCCCTACATATATTGAACCGAAGACCCTTATAGAAGACTTTGTAGTACCACGGGTCGTTGCGGGAGCCTGTGGTCGTGGTCACGACATGACATAAATAAAGCACATTGCATTTTAGCGGTCCTTGAAACCGCAATGCAAGAGTTCAAGAAGTCATGCCCCCATCGAAGCTTTTGGAAGTCCCCTATATGTAACTTACTCGAGCAGTTTGCTTAGTGTAGGTGCCCAAACGCAGGGGAACCAATTCAGTGAAGATCCGATCGCATGTACGACGCAGTGTGCGCATACTGAGTGACATAGTGACGTGCTTTACCCGCAGAGAGAGTCCTCAGGCTCCACTCAGAAGGCCGTGGGGCCTGACAGTGAGAGTTTGGCACACGTGACGACTGACGCAAGCAGAGGCCAACGCCTGCACAGACGCACCGTGTGAGGAGGCAGCGACCACCTCACGCAAACCGAAAACGGGCGGAGCAAAGTAGAAGCCGTGACCGCAGAGGGACAGCAACTGCACGGACCCACGAACGAGCACATTGGGACCCAGATTCCAGTTCTTGATACGAACAGACCCCGAAGTTGCGAGTCATTCAGGTGCCAATGGTAAACCGTGTGCTCTCCCGCTGCTTAAGCACCGAGGACCTGAAAGCTGGCTTTTCAAGGGTGGTTCTTGCGACATCCTGTGAACAAGAAGCAAGTGAGGACTCAGATGCGCGAAGGGAGCTTCTTGCAGCCTACTTTGCGGAAACGGCCGGCGAGGTGCTTTTCGTGGTCGCGGCTCATGTTGTGCTGCCAGAGTCCAACGTTCGAAGGAGGAAGCCGCCAAGCGGCCAAAGTCGACGGCCAGTGCCATCGTGGGCCTGGTCTCCGAGGCGAGTGATTCGAAGGGCGGCGCATGTTTTGTGGGCCTGACGGCTTCGTCTTCGGCCCAGGCTCAGGCACAGGCGACGCAGCCCGGTCTGGATTTGACAAGCCGGGCCCCACCCAAGCAGCCGCTGCCTCTGCTGCCTTCGCTCGGTGCTCGCCGTTGCAGGTGCCTTGCAGAGGATCCGAGGAGTTGCACTTGATGTTGGGGTTGTCCTTGGTGAAGTCTTCGATGACAAGGCGTTGGGTCACGCTATTCTGCTGTTCCTCGCACAGGATGCTGCCTCGCCAGGTTCAGGAGCGGTTTATGGAGGATATTCAACCGCTGTTCGATGCACTTGCTGCGGAAACGAGCCGTTCTCAGAGGACGAGGATGCAACACTGTTGACCCAATAGGGCCACCGCCAAAAGCTGTTCAAGCCGACTTCTCGGCATGTCTGAGGTAAGGTCGTCGAACACCGCTCGTGCAGACTCAGGCGACCCCCTTGACCACTTCGCATGTTCCCAGAGCCTCACACGCGTGCGTCCTATGCCACTGAATCCTTGATGGCTCGGGCAGGACCGATTGCAGGCAGTTGAGCCTGTCGGAGTAGCCTGGTGTAGTTCCTTTGCGGATATGGCGTCTGAGAGCCAGGTTGCGGACACGGGTGCCCACGTGCATCTGCCACCATCCCTCTGTGAAGCTCTGGTCGCGGCGTTCCCCAACGCATCCTCGCAGACTGCACCTGACTTCGCAGCTATGATCGGCGACTTGCTTGCCTGTGCACCCTTGGCGAGCACTCCAGCTACGGCTAGTGCGAAGATTTGCCGGAAGGGCAGGGCTACTCCAGAGCTCCATGGCGGCCCTGAAGGAGCTTATCAGCGCGATGTCTCAACTGGCCGCTGGAGATCACTTTCCCAAGATCGCTCGCAGCGAACGAAGCCCAGTGCTTCCCGAGAAATCCCAAAGTGTGGAGCAGCCAACACTTCACAGATGCCGCGACCCGAAGAAGAGCCTCAAGAGCCGGCGCGCCCCGAGAATGCAGCAGCCGAAGCCGCCTTGAGCAGGGCGAAGGCAGAGACCATGAAACTTTGGGAGGCCGCCAGGAAGACTTTGGGAGATCTACGCTGTCGGAGCTTCAAGCAGCAGGATGCCATGCAGCGGACGATGGCAGAAGCCGAGCTTGAGAAGTCCATGCTCGCGGCGGCCTGGAAGTTATTCCGGGTGTTTCGGCATTGATGATTGTTCATACTATGCTGCTCCTCGCACCGTCGGTATGTGCTACTCGTATGAGAATCAATCTCAGGACTCTCTGGACAAGAAGGAGCTTGGAGAGATCACTCGCATGGCCGCAGGCTGTGTGTCTTGGCTGCTCTGGCGTAAGTTTGAGGACGACTCCCTAGTTTGGCCTGCAAAGCGAGACCTAACCGAACCTGAGGAGGGTGGTCGAGCTTTGTCTGTTGGTGTGGCCCGTCACCTCTTCGAGAATGTTGGTTCGTCCGGCCGAAGCAGCAGCAGGGGTGGTAAGCCGAGGGCCAAGAGGTCTTCTGCTGCTTTGCCTCCTCGACCCAAGACCGAAGATGAGGGTGCAGAAAGGACACTAGAAAAGAAGCCGGAGAAGCTGAACGCGCGGCCTGAGTCTCCTTCAGTTCGCCATCGAATTGGTGCCTGGGAGATTTCGCAAGCTGCCCCTTTTGGTGGGGCATAGACTCACGGTCGCACGAGCTACTGCCGCAACCTCGGCCAAGAAAGGCTTGAAGAATGCAGCTTCAGGCCCCAAATTAATAAATTCAAAGCCTGCACGTGCAACAGATATCTTCTGCTAGTCGACAGCGCATGCCCGGTGACCTAGCCTGCTGTGCACTGACCAGAAAGATCCAAAATCTTGTGCTGGCGGAGCAGGTGCATTGCTCTTGTCTTCCCCAAAAACTCTCAGCTCCGGCTCTAGCGCCTGTCATGCGCGCCCTTTTGAGGCCCCCCAGGCAGCCGTCTCAGCCTGATGCAGGCGGTCCATCACCGCCACGCTTGGCTTGTCTGGAGCATGACAGTTGTGTTTGCTTCCACGTCAGGTTTGTTTACCTTGGGCGTTAGGCTTCGTTTTGCAAAGGATCTGCTGAAAGTGTCGTCAAGTGTCGTCAATTCGTTTTGTATGGCTCAAGCGCCCAGAGTGCAGGGCCCTCTCGGGCCCAGGCCTGGGCAGCTAAAAGCTGCCCTGCCGCCATGAGCGATGTACCGAAGATGTTGGAGACCTTCTCTGCCATCGAGGAAGAGTTGAAGCGATCCTTCGAATCAATGAACAGCGTGAGTGAGCAGGTCCAGAGTCTGCGAGATGCAGTGGAGACCCTCGAAACGCAGGATGCCACAGAAACCCAGACAACCGCGGGAAGACAGCGTCGTGTGTCCGTCCGAGGATCCAGCCCTGTTAGCCCCAAGTCCAGGGCGCTGCAAGAGCCACCCGCGCTTGTGATTCACCGGCACACCAAGGCACACCAAAAGACGAGCTCGGTATCAAAGACGGTGACAGCTGCTGCATCAACAAAAGCGACAGATGCCGGTGGTACCCAGCTGCGTCTGCACGGGCGTTGGATGGACTTGGCCACGCAAAGCGCCGAGGGTCCAACCAAGGACACTCGGAAAAAGGTTACGACACGCATGAGCCAGCTCGGTGGCATGGGCTCGGAGCAATCGCTTGCTAAGCCGCAAGCTGTCGAACCCTTGCACCCACATGGTGCATTTAGGATTTTCTGGGATATGTGTGCTATGATACTGATATTCTGTGACACAATCATGCTGCCGCTCGCATTGGCGTGGGAAGAGGACATGAGCTCGGCCAACCTCTTCAGCGTGATGCTGTATGTGAACTTCTGCATCAGTTTGACCTTTTGGACTGCAGACTTACTTGTCAATCTGAATACTGCGACATACCGCAAGGGTACGCTGGTAACCCAGCGGTTTGCAATATTCATAAGCTACTTGCGTGGGTGGCTGTTGTTCGACGTTCTGCTGCTCGGATTTGACGTCATGTATGTCACATCGGAAGCGAACGTGTCCTCAGAGTTCCGCTTGGTCCGCGTCACGAGAATCTTACGCTTGTTGAGACTTCTTCGCATGCTCAAGCTCACAAGACTAAATGCGATCATTGAAGAGACTGCCGCCAACAGCGGCAAACAGTGGGTTACAGTCGTCATCGCAATCACCAACACGGCCTTGGGAATGATTTTCATTGCCCACTTGCTGACATGCATGTGGTACGGGGTTGGGCGGGCGGTCGAAATCGACAACTTCGACAACCCCGCTGGCATACAGGCCTGGACTGTGCGAGCAGGGGCGAAAGTGCACGAAATAGAACCTTATATTCAGTATCTCCATGCTATGCGATGGATCGTGAACACGCCGTCGCCGCCTGACATCGATCCTGGAAGTGCGACCGAGAGAATATTCGACATCCTCGTGTCCATTTTCTACTTGCTTGTCATGGGCTCTGCGATTTCAAAGATCTCGGGCACAATCGCAGAGTTGAGAGCCATGAACGAAGCCAGAGATCGCCGGCGTAGAGAAGTGCGACAATACCTCAGCCATCAGCATGTTTCCTTTGAACTAGTGTCTCGAATCATGCGCTTCGTGGACTACCGGCTTGAGAAGTTTTCGGCCTCAAATCTGGATACCTCCTTGATCTCCCCCACTTTACAGTTGGAGCTTTACGTGGGCCAGAGAGCATGCTTTATCCTGGAGATGCCGATCTTCAAGCTGCTACAGGAGTGCTATCACGACGTGTTCGGCAGCGTTTGCGCAGCTTTGGAGAAACACGTCTACGAAAAGGGTGAAAACATCTTTGTGGCCGGTTCCTGGACATACAGCCTACACATCACTGCCACGGGCTATTACAGCTATGTTGAAGGCCGCTGCCTGCAACATCCATACTGTCCGTACTAGCACCGCCTTCCACCCGGCAGGGGGAGAGTAATTCTTTGCTACTGCCCCTGTCCCACGATAAGCTTCTCATGTCTTGCCCCAAGTTCGATCGGGTTGTGACCTGGAAGGCTACGACGCGGAGGGCGAGGCGGCAGAATTCAACGGTACCAGATGGTTTGGAGAACTGTCTCTTTATACCGAAGGTAGCCTGCATCAGCCGTTGCCCCAGACGCAGTGACGCTTCTCATATCTTTCGAATGAGTAGCCGATCAGGTCAACTCTTGCTGCCGCGAGCTTCGCCGAGACCTTTACATTGACCGGGCCAGCCCTGGCAGACTGTGTGAAGCAATCCCGTGGTTGCAACATGGCCCGAATGCCACACAAATTCATGCTGCTTTGAGGTCGTTATGTATAGGAGGCAGGCAGTGACATGGAGCTGCCAAGGCATGGCCATGTTCTGTGACTTTGCCAAGGACTGCGTGCGGGGATCCCGGGGGGGGGGGGGGGGCATGTGTTAAAGTAGCCAAGGGCCACATCGAGGCTTAGATGAGATTGTTTTGCCCAGAAGGTCGAAAACGCGCATCGAGTTGAGTTGGTTGCATAGCCTCGCAGGACTTTGTGACTGCAATGCAGGGCAGCAAGACGAAGTGCGGAGATCAGGAACAAGTCTATTGGGCAGAGGAGTGCTGCAAGAGGAACCAGCACTACCAGGAGTTGTATCCAGACCCGAAGACTCGGTTCAAGAACATCACCATCCCCTTGAAGCTCAAGCGCAGTGGGAGCACCAGCGCCTCAGGAGAGGAGGGAGTCAGCTCTAAGGGCTCCCTCACGATTCCCAGACCTCGCTTCTCCAAGAACTCCAGGAACTCCAAAGGCTGGGGTCCTTCTTAAAAAACTTACAGCTTACACTTTAGGCTACCATATCCGGGATCCAAAGTAAAGGATGGTGTTTCCTTTTTTTGGTAGCTTGATACACTTAAAGTCTTGATTATGGTAACATAATACTTAAAGTCCTTACGAAACGATACTGATGCATAGTTTGATGATTGCTTTTGGCTAATAATTCCGTGAACCCAGAAGGCTCCCAGGGCTCCATCAAAGCCGTCGCCTTTGACTCCGACCCCCAAAGCCCCGGGATGGACTTCGAGCCCGTGCAATCGGTGACCAGCTTGTACACGCGCTTCAGCGAAGGATCCGCTGAGGTGATCAATCCGGGCTTGGAGGCCTACCTGAAGGGCCTGGATGGGGAGAAGATGGAGACCTACAAGCTCATCGATGACCTGCAGACTATATTGCCAGAGTTGCATTCTGAGCACAGCCCGCACGTCGTCTTTGAGCAAGCCGCCGAGCGAGAGAGGGCCGAGTCGGCTTGTATCAGTATTTTGGCCTTGTACAAGGATCGCTACGACATCTTCACGCAACCACAGGCTCCTCCTGTAAGGATGCAGGAAGAGCAGTGGATCGAACTTCAGAGGCTCATCGCCTGGATCGAACCTTGGCCGAACAGAGCGAATGGACCAGTGTTCGGTGTTTCTGGGTTTTCTTTTGTGGTGGGCAGCTGCTCAGGAGCCGGACAACGAGCGAATCCATGCAGTCCTGGCCACAACCTCAGCCATCCGCGGCGAATCAACTTAGAGATTTAGATTCCTTCGAGATGTCACTGAACTTCCAGGTGTTGTTGGCCATTCGGGCGCTTGGGAAGTCGAAAGCCGTGCTCCAGCAGATGCCACGGCCCATGCGGCGCCCGGAGAAAGCGGTGCTCCAGCTCATGGAAAGCCCCCCGTCGCAATGTGACAGCCACGGTCTTCACCGGTTTAAGGGCGTCTGACTCTGACTAAAGCTTCGAACACATCAGGTGAACGGAATGTGGTCCCATCAGTGCTGTGGCTATCTGAACGGGCGGAGCACTTGCCTTAGTCCTGACGCATTGGGCCTTTTGGGAAAGCTTCTCCAGCGGAAGAGCCGCACGAAAATCTACATGCCACACACTGTCAACTAGTAACAACGTCACCATGCAGAGCTAGGGCGGCCCGCGTTTTTTAGAGTCTAGAGTCTAGAGTCTAGATGAGTCTAGAATCTAGATGTTGTTCTTTCTATATCGGTTTCGACGTATAGCTGTTGCGCTCCTCCTCTCATAGCTATTTGTGCCTGTAGCAAGCCGGGGTGATGTCAGGAACTGACAGGAAGTGTGCTTCATATTCTGCTTGCTGTCGCCGAGACGTCCCCACACGTAAGGAAATATATAGAAAATGCTCTGGAGATCCACGAGCTCTTCAACTTGGCCCAGATGCTACAGGGTGAGAATCTGCCGGCAAACATAGGAGAGCTGCGCCGCTGCATCGAAGAGAAAGGTACTTGACCCAGATTCGCTGACGTGTTCTGAGAATCGGCTGACTTTTCGCAGTAGCTGCGGGCTCGTGCATCTTGACCTGAGGCGAAGACATGTTCCGATTCTACATCTTATTCTTGCTTGGCTTTATGAGTGGCATTGCTGCCGGGACTGGCTCGCGGTTCATGAATGGCAAGATGCTTGGCTCAAAGAAGCACCGAAAGTGTCCTTGGCGTTCACATCCCAGTCTGAAGTCGCAAGCCTGCCCTGAAAACCTCGACCGTCCCATTTCGCTGCTTCGAGGAATGCATCTGCAGTAATCAGTGGCATTCGTCTGCTGCAGCGGCTGATGGAGGTTTCCCCCCAAGCAATATATTGGGGATACCTGGAAGAGAGGGCGGAGAAGCTGCGCCTGAATTTCTATACTGCGGAGGACTGGCTGATACTCTTCGGCCACTGACACTTGC